AGATGGTTAACCAGTTGTATTTCTCCAGGTAGAGAAATGCTTGGTAACTATGGCTTTAAAACCTGAGTTGTCATGATGTCACATTGTGTGTGGTGTTGGAGTGGAGGCCCGAGACCTGGAGGCCGTCGGTCCTTAGTGCAGCCATGTTTTGCTGTATAATAAAGGCCTACAAGGCCACTAGTGCCACAAAGAAGAAAAAAAAAACACTATGCTGTCAAGTCAACTCCAGCAGCCATGGCGGTCCTACAAGTTGCTAGACGTAGCCAAACCAAATCATCAACTAATTTTTCATGTGCTCTAACCGTAACGGAGGAATAGCATCACGGGAGGCCAAAAATGAGTGAAAAATAGGGCTGCATGATATCAGAAAGTGATGCAATGGTGATATTATTGTTGAAAACTGCAGTGACATCACTTGTGATGGATCCACATTTTTCCTCTTTTCCAGCTGCGCTTCCAACACTCTGTGACCTTAAGCATCTTGGGCGCTGCGTTCTGGCCCAGTTGTGGGCATCCACTGCAAAGACATTTAACCCGACAGTCTGTTAGCACAGTAGATGCTCATGTTGGCATTTTAGCAAACAGGCGTGCAATCCAAAAAGTAAATCTGTTTATGGCTACAAATAAACTTTCTTCTGAGTGTTGTTTTGTCAAAATATCTTTATTTAAACTCTCCTGTGTCTCGGCTTGGAAAAGGGAAAAAATATCCCTTTTCCAAGCTGCTGGTTTTTGTGTCAGTTTTATAGCTTTGTTTTTGTTTAAGTTTGGTGTTTATTTTACTTCATGGACAACTTAGAAGTCAATAACAAGTCAGCTGTTTGGCAGTGAGCAGCAACATGTGGGGTAGGGGCAACCCTGCATTACTACATCCTTTGCACAGCCAGAGAAAACTCCACTACTTCTTTGGTATTTCACTGACAGGACTTTAAACGCTACAAAGGAAAGTCTCAGCGGTTTTGAAACTGTAACTTTTTAAAACCTCGATACCGATAATCGGTACACGTCTACGTCCAAGCCACATAATGGCAAATTGGGACGTTTTGGTCTGCTAGTTAGCTCACTTTAAAGGCCTGATGTGTGATTTTTTTAATTGATTGTCATTTATGAGGGTAACTACGGCTTATATAAGCCACTGGAGACAGTGACACAGTCTTAAATATTTTCACTTAATAATCTAAAAGGATATAAGCCGCTTTCATTACACGGTTAAATACCAATGTCCTTATATGAATGCAGGCCCGAGCCCAAGTGGAATTATTTTTTCCAACTAGTCAGTCCTGTCCTCATGCAGCCAGGGACTAAATTAGATGTTTTTATTTGACAGACCGAGCTTAAGACAGGGAAAAAAAAAAAAAAAGAGTGCATGGAAAATCCACAATTATAGGTAAGGAATCGTCAGGGTTGAGTTTCGCAAAAAAAAATAAAAATAAAAAAAAATAAAATATTGAAGTTTAAATTTGTGAGTTACGATACTTTAATGAAAGTGCTTAGTGTCTTCACAGGCTGCTTTTCACCATAATAGAGCAATAATATTGTTTCAGGGTGGTGATATCTTCATATTGTATCTTGAGCAAACATCATCAGGTAATCATATTAGGGTCGGACAAATCGCCCTCTAGGGAAGCTCCTGGTATGTGTGTGTGGAAAGAGGGAAGAAAGAGCAGAACCGTCATCTGACCGTGACCTATTAGTCTTTAGCAGATTGTTTTGACTACCAGGCCGGCCTGAAGGCGACCCCCTCCTCCTGTTTGGACTGAACCAGTCCGGGTCCAGCCTCCGCAGCTACAGCTGCAGCTTCCAAGCTGTCACCGATTGCTCGCGACGAGACGCGGGACGATTCGTCTAATGACTCCGTACTAATTTGATGTAATTTTGGTAAATTGGCTAATTTCAACGCCCAGGTTTTAAGTGAAATTCGTGGTGTATCCTCTTTCTCCAACCCAGAGTACTTTTCCTTCCACTGATAAATGCCTGCAATTTTCCACAGCGCTTTCCAGCAAACACCGGAGAGCGCGGGCTGCACTTGTGTCTCGCAGCTGTTGGTTTGATGGTTTGTGTTGGGAAAGCGAGTACGATAACAGGAGTGCTACAGTTTGGCCGCAGTTTCCCAGGCTGTGTTAAATTCATTCTCACAAAAAAAAAAACAACATTTTTGGCTAAAATCCCATGACGCCCACTGCCTTACTCTTAGTTTTGAAGTGCGCATTGCTGGATTACGCCACAATTCAAGGAGTCTGTAAGGTCTGAGAGTTAAACGCTGAACCACATTTTACCCTTTAACCCCCTGGTTTCTATATTTCTATGAGGTAGAGCGTCAGATTGATTTTTTTTTTTTGTGATTCGGCTAATTTAACTGTAATATCTATTCCTTAACTTATTTTCAATGGTAGCATATTTGCTGTCTGCTTTGAAATGTGCTGGTATTTTTGGTATCACTAATGTTTAATAAATCAGTACTAAATACTTGTGTCATTTTAAAATATTTTGCCGTCTTAAGAACTATTGTAGTTTCATGTGTACTAATGTATTTCATTTGTTATCCATTGAAAAAAAAAAGTTTAATTAATTGACGGCTTCTGATCTGTCACCATGGTGAAAAGTAAATGTGTTATATAGATAAAATTTTGTTGTACGTATGTGTAGGTGCAGCCAGACTAATATAACTCATGCACGTATAAAGATTTGTATATATAGAGCGCTATTTTAGAACAACCACAGAGCATATTGTTTGCTTCAGCAGTTTTATTTAGTAAAATCTTAATAAATTTCACATACATTGAAGTATGTTTATTTTTTAGGCGATAAATTAGATCACAAATGTTCACATATCAGGAAACGGTGAGAGCTGCAGATTTATCAGCTTCTTGAAGGACCACTCCGTCTCTAACCAATACCTAAAGTACCAATGTGTTGGGGTAGTCCAGTTATTGCACTTCAGGGTGTAACTTAAGTTACACCTTGAAGCCCCCATGGATCCAAATTCAATGGTAGTAGATAAGTACCAATCTAATCAAATGTATGAAACTCAGATTAAGCCTTCAACACTGGGCAAATACTGCTGGGGGTAAAATTAAACATCTGATGCTCTCAAACTGTAAGAGTTTCTCAAGTGCAGCAGGTTTATTTATGCAGAGTCACTAGAATAATAAAGAGCAGAGATAATAGAAACCCTAAATAAAGACTAGTAGTAAAAATGATCTCCCATTAAAAAAAAATCACATTCAAACAAAGCTAACACATGTCAGAAATGGACGGATTAAGTGATCTTTGACCTTTACGGCTAAGCTGCAGTAAACGGTAACTTTTTCCATCTGTATCTCAAGAAGCCAAATGCGTTGAAACTTAATGCTGCTTCTTGTGCAACATCGTCGAGTTTGTCTTGACCAAATTATTGTCTAAAGCCGGATCCCGGGGCTCGACTTTAATGAGGCCTGTGTGAGGAATTGACTAGATGAGACAGGATGAAAGTGCAGCATCTGAGCTTCAGGTATTTCCTGAAGATCTCTCAAGCGCAGAATGAAGTTCAGGCACCGAAGTTTGGCAAATCTTTATGAATTGACTTTCTTGTCTATTTAAGTTAAGAAAAGTTGATTGTATTATTCTATTGTATGTAAAAAGGAAAATGATCATCGGCATATTGCGAAAGCCTCAGGGTGAAAATGAAAATTATTTCTTTGTTTTTTTTAGCAAGGCATTTTGAGCAGTGAACTTGTGTAAAAAAAAAAAAAAAACCTGGATTAAACTGTCACGAAAAGGTCACGTGAAGTAGCTGCGCTTTTGAAACTTAAATTCCTGCACACAAAGCACCAACCTCTAATTGTTTGCGTTTGCTCACGCCCGCTTTCGCAGCCAACTACAAGTGGTTCAGTCACAGTCTAGTAACGACGCTCATCTCTGTCCAGCTGGAGGACGGATCGTCACTAATCGTTTCGGCGCCCCAATCAGTGGGAGGACCGATTCCTGTCCAATTCCTGTGATTTCATCCTCCGATTACCACCTGATACCCGTCCAAACACCTACCCACCGTCGCTAATGTCAGTCACATGGACTTTTCCAAACACCTACACCTCGTGCTACGTCTGAAATAAAGGAAATGTGTTACAGGTGTTTAGAAGGAGGCCAAGCTGGGAGTCGGAGAAGGTTAGCTGAGATGATATGAGAAAGGAAAAAGAGCAAGGAGTAATAAAAAATGTAAAAAAAAAAGTCTCCCAAACTTTTTTTTTTTGGCAGAAAATACAACAAACTCATCCAAATTCAATTTGAATGAGAACAGATTTTTGATTGGGAAACATTTATCAGCAGCCAGGGATTAGGTCTTAACAGCATTAGATCAGATGTCATTAATTTTTGAGACACGGCAATGATTGACTACGTTGCAAATCACTCAGAAAATAGCCTCATTAAAAACCTTTGAGCCGGGCTCGGCGGCGGATGGCCGGCGCAGCGAGCAGGGGAGAGGTTAGGTGAGGAGGGAAAAAGTGATGTTATTTTCCTGGCCAGATAGAGAAAGGCTCCTCACCAGCCAGGAAATCAGGGCTCCTCTGTTCCGATACCACAGATAAATTAGGAATATATCGTCTTACGCTGCGCTTATAAATCAGCTCATGATGTCATCGTTCAGCCTGCGATCGAATTAAGCAAAACACGTGTTGCTCCCTGCTGCCGCGGCGGCGGCTAACGTTGCCTTGCTACTGTGTGGGAATGTGTTTGTGAGTTTACTGCAGCCATTCAGGGCTAATTTACTTTCTCAGCAACCAAAGGCGAAATGCTTACAAAACCACACTGATTGCAGAAAACCAGATTCTGTTGCCACAGCAGACAGTGAAGTTGTCTGAAGTGGAAGTTCGTGACTCCCCGGGTCCCGCCGCCGGAGGTTAACATCGACGGCAGAAATGTGAAAAATCCCTGCATTTTCTGGTGTCGCCTTCTCAATGTTGCATCGTTAAGTCCAAGCTGAACGTTCCTGACGATCTGACACCGTGTTCTCTTTTCTGTCGCAGAACAAAGACAGAGACAGGAAGACGAGCATCCGAAGCTAACGCCGAGGGCACAAACCACACGGACAAAATGTTCACGACTCTGACGGGGCTTCATGTGATTTTTTTTTTTTTTTTTTTTTTTACAACCCCTGCAGCTTGAAGACTAACCAGACTTGTGATGCATTTTAAAGACTTTTGAAGGATTTATGTAGCACTTCCACTTCCTTTTACAAGGAACTTTTTAATGTTTCCTTTTTCTATTACTTTATGCGAACTCTTTTGTTTTACAGTGAGGAATCGTGAACAAGACTTTCCATGGATTTTCACCAGCGTATCAAGACTATAGAGGAAAAAAACAAAACAAAGTACTTCTAAAAAAAAAAAAGAAATACGGCACATGATCTCTCCAAACCCACGAATTTGTATTCATTAAAAGTTGTCTTATTAAAATGTAAACTGATATAAAAAAATGTATATTTATGTAACATAACAATATATAATGAAACTGTTATTTAACAGACTTATGGCATTTTTGATGTTTTTAAGTGCAGACTTTGGTTTCTGACTCAGTTTGTAGCATCACAGAGAACATGCTGGAACTATGGTGTTAATGGTTGTTTCGAATATTCATCCCTGAAAGTGGAAAATAACTCGAGCTGACCAATAAAATGTTTGTAAATCTGGGCGTAAATCATATTTTTCTGAGCATACTGTATTTTCAAATCTTGTCCCAGTAATTGCCGGTTCCAACCAATAAAGCTTATAAAGTTTCCATTTTGAATTTATGATGGCACGCAGATGTTTTCTGAAACCAAATTGTGGTTTTTTTTTTTTTTTTAGGGGATACTTGCGCTGCTACGGGAGACACAAGAACCAACGAAAGCCTTTTACGAGAGCAAATTTAAGGCATAATTATCTGAAACAAGCAGAATCGATGCTTTTGTTTTTACATTTCAGTTTAGATTTCCCTTTAATTTCAAGCTTCTGGTTTGTTTTTAACATAACAGATGAAATCTGTTATGTTGGATGTTTTTGTTGCCGCTCTTTGCCTTGGCCAAAATTATCTTGAAAAAGCATTATTTGCTTTTTTTTTGTTGTTTTTTTTAAATAAAGGTTGAAGTAAAAATAAAAAAGAAAGGCTAAAGAGGAAATTAAAAAAAAAGCAAGATTAAGAAGCGGAGAAACAGGCGAGCATAAGAGCTGGGGTGGGAGGAAGGGTTGAAGTGGGCTGCAAAATTGCATCTGCAGGTATGGCTACTTGGACATCTGCCTTTGTCCCTTTGCTGTCCTCTTCTTTACCTTTCCACATGCTTGTTCTCTTTTCTCCTCCTCTGCTCTTCCTCTTTTCTCCCTGGAGTGCCACTGGCCAGAATCTGGTTGGTGATGGCTTTCCAGTGTGTGCATCCTGACCGCGCTTACCTTCCCATAACCTTGTCTGTCCATCTTTCCAGCCTCTTCTCCGACACGAGAAACTGTATTTTATTCTTTTTTAACATTCTTTTGATTTTGGCTTTGTGTAAAACAAACAGGATGCTCTTTACATTTTCTTAATTGTCGTGTTTAGGTGATCTCAGGGAAAGACAAAGTCTTTCATCCGAGTAAACCGTCGTCTGATGACCGTAGAGAACATGATGGTGCCTCTCTTCTAACTGTGGTTGAAAATTGAACGGTGAAGAAACGCCCACATGTAGCGGTCCGCTGACGTCGGCGGTAGGGTCGGGGTTCACCGTACGGGCTAACTGAGGCTCACTTTCAAGCATTTAGCATAAATTTGAGTCGAACCAATGGAGTGAATAGTTCAAAACGTCAACATAAATAACTAAAGTAAACTAAATAAATACTACGACTGGCTGATGGACAATACACTTTACTGATGTTTGGAGGGTTGAGACCGCATGTTTACATACACTTTAATAAAAGAAACATGAATAACATGTTTTTTTCACTGTCTCACATTAAATTAAACTACATTTACATGATTTAAAAAAAAAAATCTTTCTTTGTATTAAGAAGTTTATATGCAGTTTCTGTCTGGTTGGACTGCCTAAAGTGGTTTGGATCGGGTCAAACATTTTGGTTATCCGGCATGTCTTTGGGTGTTTCTTTGACTGTTTTGTCATTATGCTCAAACACATACAAACTGTAACAAGGCTTTTCATGCAGCTTTCTTATAATGACTTCTTTCATTCTGAGTGGCTTTTCAGCTCACATCAGCATTTCTACAAGGTTTTTTTTAACTTTATTTAATGGTTGACTCACACATTTTGCAACCAAAGATGTTCTCTTGTACTTGCATGTAATTGTCTGAACAAATGAACGTGGTACTTTGAGGTATCTGGACTTTGTGCTCAAGAACGAAGCAGAGGTCCACGTTACTGCCCTGATATTTAGGTCGATTTATTTTTATTTTCTTATGATTTCGTAATTGGAAACAATGTGTTTGAGGCGTTGTCTTTAAAAACTTTTTCAATAAATATTCTCTCGTCAGCCGAGCATTTAGCAAATGGAAACAGTTTGTGTAATCCCAACCGACCGATAATTTCAGACAGTGGGTAAAATTTCTTAAAAACAAAGAATCTGTTTGAGTTTGTATTGACTTTTTTCTGCAACATGACAAGTGTTGGGTGAAAAAGGCCAGATAAGAAAAAGTAAAAAAATACACCATGAATCAGAAAAAAAATACTGAAGGAAACTAAACAGATTAATTTTGAGAACTTTAAACGGTGCTGAAGACTTAATCCACATTTAGTGCCGATGTTTTTCCTGAGGGGACACCGCAGACGTCGTATCAGCCATTATAACATGATTCACAAAGGTAATAGAAGTGAAGGGGGAAAAAAAGTTATATACTCAAAAAGAAACTAATAATATATCATTAATACTAATAGCATTTCTGGCAATATTTAGAGAGTTTTGGAAAAGCATTTTTGGAGAAAATCCGAGCTAAAGATAGTCGTGAGGTCTGGAGAATCACTTGTATTTTAAAGACAAAACGTAGTTCTGGCATGTCATGCTTGAACTACCCTCACACTCAAGTGCCAGAGCTGTTTTCCTTCCCAAAAAGACAGAACATAGGAAAATAAAGCGCAAAATCTCAGGACACTTTGGCCGCTATTGGCCCATGCTGCGCTTTGGATCGCGTGGAAATGATTTGATTAGTGTTGTGAATTTACTTTAAAATGTTTCTTTTCCTTATTATTATTGCCCCCTGATAATTTAAGAGCTCGATTTTTTTTTTAAGAAGAAAGTATCAGCTTTTTGAGGGGAAAAAAAAAAAAGTGCAGTGTGTCTAGTGTGTCCTAATGGCTTCTGGTCCGGTTAGTCTGAGAGTCTGATCTCTCTAGCAGGCCGTCTGTCTGAACAGTTGTGAGTGGGGGGAAAAAAGGAACCGGTTCCTCCCACACAGATCAGATCAGGTTCCCCTTACGCCCACACTCACATAATCTTGAACACACACAGATGACCATTTATGCAACTCGTGAGCCAATGAACTTATGCACAAATAGATGAGCACACTTTATGAATGGACGTGCACACGTTTGCATGCGCTCACACTCATCTGCAGCAGGGGAGTCTGTGCTATAGCTTAGCCGTATAATGATCTCTGTATTTCACATCGATGAAGCAGATCAGCTGAGTACGCAGCCTGCTGCGGTGCGTTGAAGTGGGAGGTTTTGGACTAGAAGGTGAAGCGGAGGTTGGAGAATCAACTGGTTCTAATTATCAACGTAATGGCCTGACGAGGATGCTGTCTGTGACGGATTTTATGTTAATAGAGTTAGCAAAAGTTTCCAAAAAGGCAGCTTTTGTCAGAGGATTTTCACACTAGAAAAAGAATCAGAAAAGGCATAAAATTGAAACTTTTGCTAAACTAGATATTAAGTTTAAAGGAAAACGTGATTTAAAAAAAAACATCAACAGCTTGGTTTCAAACGTGTAATCTAGAGGACAAATAAAAGTAACATGGATTTGATAAAGCCCATTCATTTTTTTAACAAAATATTGACCAAACGTGAGCACAGGAAGTGGAAGAAATTCTTGCATAATTTTTTTTATCTCAAAACAAAAACTAACACTTTCCATTCCATAGCAAAATCTATGATATAAAATTAAGCACAAGGAGACTTCTGTAAATTTGCAATGGGTATCTTAAATACTCCAATTTAAGATTATAAGAAGGGTTAGTAATCAAACGTTTAAGTTTAAAACTAAGATATTTTCACAAAATAATTAACTTAACCAGTGGAATACAAAGACAGAGGTCTAAGATAAAAACTACAACTACAATTCTCTTCTACACCCAGACGTTGAAGAAATGAATGTACAAATAGTTAAGTCTCAACCAAAGATCTAACATTTATCAAGAGTTCATCAGTCTCAGGAGGCTGATCTGTCAGGACCAGAACCATCACAACAGAACCTGAAAACAGGACCTTACTTTGGTCCAACTTCCACAGAACCAACTCGTGTCTCTGGTTCGAAGCCAAGAAATCTGGAGGTGGGAGAACTATATATATGAAGAGTCCGATTCTGCTCCAACAACCTGGAATCAGAGCGCTCTGTCTGAGACTGGCAGGGCGTCAGCTTTGGCTCAGGTTATAAATGTCTTATGGAATCGAGTTGGATGTGAAAGAAGAACACATGTCCCTCACATTCTGATGGGAAAAAGAGTGAATATGTTTTCATATGACATTAATAGTCTAATCTAAGCCTCTGTCACTTTGGAGTGGCTCACCCATTGTAGTTTTATGTCCGACCGCTGATCTTTAAAAAACCTGACATGACCTGATCTGATTTTGTCGCAAAACATAGCAAACATGCAGACATGACCTGGTGGGCAGGGCTTTCAGTCAAACCTCTCTGACAGCAGAACAAAAAAGGACAGTGGTTGACCTTACCGAGGAGATGAGAGGTCAGCTTCACATCGGAGTGTCAACCTGTCGCCAACTCCACAAAATTAAGAAAATCGTGGCTGATTTGTATCAGTGAACCCCTTCTCACGATTTACTCATTTATACATTAAGACAAAAATAGTTAATTAGATTGTGTAGTTAAATAACTGATTATTTTTCAGAGGTTTAAGACTTAATTGGCTCGTAGGTTAAGCTACAAAAATGCGTCATTTTAAAGCGACTATTATTTATGAGTTTGTTTTTGTTTTCTTTTGTCCAAACAGCGATTCTCCATCAGGTTCCATCTGTTTGACTGCGTAACGTCACCATGATGACAGACAGAGCAGCTCAGAGCGCTCTCTGCCCCTTCGTCTCTCATGTTACTGTTTGAGCCAAAGAGTCTTCTGGGTTCCCTCTGTTTTTTTTTCACATCACGCGGAATCGTCTGAGCCATTGTTAAATCACTACGTGTGTGAAAATATTGATGAATGCAGCACTTTATGGGTCACTTCTGAAATAGCTGAAACATTCACCCCCTCCACACTGCTTGGCTTCGTGGAGCATCCACCTCGGTTATCCCCCTCACGCTGCAGACCCATAAACCACCGAGTCGGAAACTGAAAATAAAGCCTGGAATTTCTCAAACCACCCTCCACAGCTTTTATAAATAAGCAAATTATTCGGGAATAAGTGGCCAGACGGGCCTTTGGATCACATCTCAAAAACATAAACTGGTTATTTCACCATTTCTCAACTGTCAAAACACGAGAATCAGTGAAGGAGACAGAAGCAC